AGGAAGTGATTAAGTTATCTTCCTTCCAAGCAATATGTTGGCAAGTTAGAGGTTTAAAACCCACTGATAATAATAATTTGAATATTCTGCTTGTATAATGATTATTGTTTTTTAATAATTAGTTGGAACGGAATCTTTATAATTTTGGTAGTATCAACAAGATTGAAAGATTATAGAATATTCATATAAGATATAAATTATATGATAAAATACAAGCCAGTATAAGCAGTGCAAACTTAAAATAAGCTCCTGTGATTGTATAAATCTGAAGAACCAAAAAGATAGATACTCACTTGGCAAGATCTGAAAAAAGAAGTAATATAAACCTTTAACAATAGCTACTAGAATATACTATACTTGAGACTAGTATAACTGAATAAAGCAAAAACACTAACAAGTTGCTTTATTAACTAGGCTGTTAAAGCATTAACTAGAAGAAATAGATTAGCAGATATTACAGAACTAATATCTCTTCTAGATTATCTAAATTGGTAGCCTAAAGAGATCAACTAAAAAGTATTAAAAGAGAATATATTAAGTAGTTTTAAAGAAGAGATATTAGTTTTGGATAAACTTTGCAAAGGCTAAATAGTAGCTATAGTAGCTCATGAGTACTTGTATTTGGATTTAATATAAGTTATCAAAGATAGTAAAAGTAAAACCTAAATAATTTTAGCAAATAATATGCTCAAAAATATATTAGAAATAGCTATTTTATAGATAGTTAGTGATGATTAAAAGATATAAAATAATATATATATCTTATATTCTAAGTAAAATTAAATCAGAATATAGTACAAAAAGTTAAATTAAAGGTTTAAATAGGAAATTAACAGATATAGCATATAGAGAATAACTATAGTAGTATAGCAAAGTTTTTAAATAGATTATAACTAAAATTATATATATATCTATATACATTCTTATTTAGAAATATACTATATTTAAAGTAGAGTTTGGACCCAGATATTCGAATACCTATTTTTCTATATCTAATTTATAAAAGCTATATCTGATAACTGTTAGTATTTTAGCTTTTAGATATCTAGATAAATCTTATAGATAACTTACACGTAAAAGTAAACGCGATTATGTATGCAAAATCAGCCACCAGGGCCAGTTTTAGATAATCTACTTCCGATTTTGCGCTCATGAAGTGAGGACATTCTAGCATCTGATAAATATTGTGAAACTTCAGGATAGTGATTAAACATGAATAGGTAAAGCCCAGTCTTTGACTCGAAATTTATGATCAAAAATTACACAAAAAAATTCCGATTTAATTCCAAATGAACCAATGATAATATAGCTTTATCGAAAATTAATTTATTAAAAAATAACGAAATTTAATACAAATTTGTAGACTATATGATAGCATTTATAATCTAAAATTCGCCTATTTTATTATTTCATGTCATTTACACTTGTCTACTGCAAGATATCAGAACGTACAATACAAATCTACCATATATTTCTTATGTGCGTTGTCTCTTGTTTGTTCGATCTCGATCCTTTAACATCCAAATGATTTTGCCAAGAACTGTTTTAATTCCCTTCCTCAAATACTCATCATTATCTAACTGTGTTGTTACCAAAGGTATATAATCGGGTGCTTGACTACAGAAAATTTGATCAGGAGTATGCTTAAAAAAATACCAATCAGTGCCAGTTGATACGATTCCGTAGACATATTCTGAATACACTTGATCTGGGTACAACTCATCAAGCTTACGTTTTTTGTTTTTGTTTGAATCTAACGAACCTTCAAGTTGCATTAAGTTTTGAGCAACGCCTGCTTTTATATCAATTTGCTTCGCTTCAGTGACGTAGATAATTTCTTCAAACCCACTACCTACTAATTGCGGATAAATTTTCTTTATTGCATAATCTACCCTGCCGACAGAT